ATGTACAGATTTATTAGAACAAGCAAAACGAGTGGAAGCCGCGACAACACTCACCCAACCAACAGTCACACCGACCACTGAAACAATGGAAGAAAGCACTACAGCTGCTCTTCGCCGAACAAACAATACTCAAAATTTTCGAGATGATTATTACAATCGAAATTATCCCCGTTATTCAAATTATGATCGCCGATAGCCACAACAACAAAATTCCGTTACCTATCAATAGTCTCCATATCAACAACAACCAAGCATGTCATCCCGACTAGTCTGTTATAATTGTAGCGGTTATGGTCATTATTCATATCAATGTCCAAGTCATTTAAACGAGTAATGGTGTCGCATGATGATAGCGCNTGGTAGCGCTACCACACAACGACAACAGCCATCAAAACTATTGTATATACATATATTCGTCAACAATGCAAAAACACGTACAATGATTGATACCGGGTCGACAATTTCGGCTGTTAACACATCGTATTAGAACACAATTAAACACAACCAACATATTCATCCGATCACAACAACTTGTCGAATGGCCAACAATAGTCAATTGCATATATCCGGTATGGTGGTACTACCAATCACAATTAACAATATCAACACGGAAATTAATGTATTTGTTATTGACGATCTTTGTACAGACTTATTATTAGGAGGAGATTTCTGCGATAAATACAATGTCAATATCAGCTATGGAGGAAAATATTTAACAATATCAACAAGACAACAGCAGACACGGGTAAAATTTCAGCAACAACCGAATACACAAGAAGTGTTTCATCTTAAGACCTTGAATGACATTGCAATCCCACCATTATCGTCGAAAGTCATCCAAGCGGCATCATCGTCACCACCCATGTCGGCGATATTCACCCCATCGTCTAGAATGACGAATAAACAATATGTTATTGCACCCCATGCTATATTGACAATTGACAATACCAATACCACAATATTAACACTATTGAATACCACAACGTCCATTAAACGGATCCCACAAGGTACGACATTAGGACAAATTAAAAATCATGAAGACAACACATGCTGTTACGTACATCATAATTCATGTAGTATACNAAAATCCTATTCGTCTATCGATAGTACAATGCACGAATTAACATCACATCTTCCACGTCAATAACAAGACCAAATACTATCCATATTGATCAAACACAAATCCGTATTTGATACATCCAAAACATCAATTATGAACACCAACAGCATCAGTCATCGTATTCCAATGCTTCCACAGCACCAACCGATTCAATCCTACCCATATCGTAAAGCTACCAAAGAAACACAAATCATTAATGAACAAGTCAAGGAAATGTTGCATAATCATGTCATTCGTCCAAGCACAAGTCCATAGTCCGCACCAGTCGTCATCATCCGGAAGAAAGATGGGAGTCCGCGTTTCTGTGTGGATTACAGAAAACTAAATTTAATTACAGAACGCGACGTTTATCCATTACCACGGATCGACGATATCATCGACAAACTGGCTGATTCACAATATTTTACAACGTTGGATTTAAAAGCTGGTTATTGGCAGATACCCATTGAAGAACAAGACAAGAAGAAAACAGCATTTGTCACTACCGAAGGATTATTCGAATTTAATGTTCTCCCATTTGGGTTATCAAATGCACCAGCAACCTTTCAACGTATAATTAATTCAGTATTAGGTGTATTGAGATGGGACATCACATTGGTATATCTGGATGATATTATTGTGTATTCACCTTCCTTTGCCAGTCATGTAAAACATCTCGATCTAGTATTAGATGCATTAGAAAAAGCCAATGTTAAGTTAAATGCAGCCAAATGTTCATTAGCACGCAAACAACTGGATTATCTGGGTTATCGAATTACACCAGATGGAATCAAACCCACGAGAACAAATGTGAAGAAGACAATTGACTTTCCAACACCAACATCGGCTAAAGCAGCATATTCATTTATTCAAATGGCACAATTTTATCGTAGATTTATTAAAGATTTTTCCACAATTGCTGCCCCATTGAATATGTTCAAAAACAAAAATATCAAATTTGACTGGACACCAGAATGTGAACAAGCAGAAATAAGCATCCATTATGTATGGCATTAATAGAATCACTTGGTTATGGGCTAAAATCCTTGTAACTTTTGAACAAAGCCGTATGGAGAAAAAAGATTCGCATATTTTTAATCCGCACACCGACTATGTCAAACTAGGCTATATCCGTTCAAAATTGGGAAAAATTATTGAAGTCAGTTTCTCTAATAACCATGGTAAGGCAAATTTTCCCTAATAATGAGACCTGCATTAAAAATTGTATCTCACTCTGCGTAAGCAAAAACTAATATTTCTTTCAATAGACCGATGGACTCTGATAGGTTTTAACGAATGTATTCTAAATTTTATGCTTTTATCAATTTTTTGTGCCCTCGGTGCCCTTCAGGTATTCGAAAAAACCTTTTTTTTGACATTGCACGTTTGTCACTGACATTCAACGCAGAAGGTTGTCTGTCGTCAGTAGAAGCGAATGACGGCAAGAAAGAAGAAAGAGAAACAATCATCAAACAACATTTTGTTTTGAATAGAAGGTCGTTTTCATCGAATGGAGCAACCGTAGTGAATTGGCAGACATTTTCTATCGTATGTCTTGTAATTTCTTTATCTTTGAGAATTTTCATGCTATTGGGAAACTTCCACCCATGTAGATGAATCCGATCGGATTCAACTAACCGATAGAATTCCACAGAGTTCCGGGTAACGAAACACTAACGGATCCGACTAGTGAGTCCTCTTTTCTTATTCCTGTATGAAAGACATTTTGCGCCATTACTAAAGAACGCTTAGATAATCCTCTAAAACTCAATCGAATTTCTACACTATGAGTTTTGATGTCGGATTGTCATCCGGAATCCGATAGGATTTCCTCGATCTTATATAAGTTTTTATTGGCCCATGACACGGTCTAACTGGACCCGATTGTTGGACTGGTTCTCCTGGGTAGCGAGTTTCCTCATTGAACTCATATCAACAAATGTGACGTCTCCATGAGGTTAAGGTGATAGCTGTGCTTTCCATTAACTAGAGAACGTGAAGCCTTGTTTTCTAGAGATCTCAAGAAAATCTCGCTATGATTATTCTAATGAAAAGTTGTCTCACCTCAGACATCATAGCTACAGCACGACTCGAGTTTCTGTTTATCATCAAACACTTTATTTTCTGACGAATATCTCCTTGAAATTAATCTTCCAAATTATTTTCTCTCCATAGCTGATGTTACAACTGATTGAAGCCTGGAATTTTAACGTTTTTCTCAATAATAAACTGTCGACAATCCATTCTCTAACTGAAAAAGATGTCATACTGAATCTGTCAGAGTTCTAGATTCGAGTGACGTTTGCTGAACGCTTTAACGTTTTAGCTAGAACTTTTTTTTCTTTTTTCGTCCAAAAAATGCTTCCTGCTGGGGAAAAGCAGTCCATTCAACATACTTAGACTAACTAGTGCTACTGATAAATTCTACATCTCGCTCTTGGTCTGAATCCTTAGTTTTATATCTAACAGGTGATTCCTATGCTGAAACCCTTATTATGATGTGTAAACTCTTTTTCTTACTGCCAACCCCTTGGCTGTATATCTAATCCTTAATTAGGAAAGGATCATGTAATGCACGGGGGCGCTTAATCTCTAGGTTTCTTTAATGACCAGGAAAACGTTTTCGGACGGTATATACTACAGAACCAGGCCCCTGCAGGGCTGGCACGAGCGGGAGGCGGCGGGGTGTGGGGGTGTCTACCACCCCAATAATGGAAAATTTTTGGTTTTTGGTAGTAGATCTGCACGAAAAGTACTGCGTTTTATTATTTTTTGACATGCGAACGCATATGCCGCATGTTTGTCGGTACATGCTGGTTATATTTTCCATAATTGGAAACCTGTAGAAAAGCTCAAAGAACTTCAATAACTGAAGTTTGCAAAAAAATCACTTTTCTAATTTTCAGTGTCTTAAAAAGCCTTTGTAAAACCCTCAGAAACCATCGTGAAACCAACAAATCGTAATGCATTCGAAAGTAGACGATTCGGGCTATGCAGCCATGTATACATCTTAAAATCGGTACTTTTGATCAGCCGAACTTTCCACTTTATAAAACTAAGGTATTTCTAGAATTTTGAAATTTATTTTTCTAAGTAATACTTTTGAAGTTCAAAATTTAAACTTGATTGAGAACGCTGATCAAGTTACTAAAACTGGAACTCTGTGGACCTTAAATTTGGCGTAACATGGATTTAGCTACAAGTCATGCAATGAAATAGGCGATTTATTTAGAACAATGTTTCCGAACTTAAAAATAGCCGAAAAAAAACCATTTGAGTTTTCTGATGAAATCGTGCTGTACAAGCCATTGAAAACTCATCGTTCATAGCAGCTTTTTATCTGTAATATGAGTATATAACTTGTTTTTTCGTTTAAATAAAGTTTTCTTGAAAAGAGCCATTACTTACAACGAAAGGAAACAGCTAGCGGCGCCTTGTTTCTTAGCTTTAACCATTTTATACCGCTCTTTGAAATTAAAGTATTAGTAATTTCGTAGAGAATTCGTGTGTAACGTGAAAAAGTTTTTGATTTTTACAATACGAAGGACCGGACGGATTTTGTCAGCGATACTCTTTTCGATGGCTAACTCGAAATAATTTTAAAAGCGTTGGAAGTAAAATGCACCTAAAGCAGATGTGCAGTGAAACTTAGTTTTATTTTATTTATACACCATTCTATAGAGAATTTGAAGACAATTACGAATATGTGTTCTCTGAACTTTTGGAGCATTCCTTCCGGTCGAAATTTCGGAAAAACTAGAAAGTAATGGAAAACTTAAGTTGTTGAGTCTTTTTTAAAATTGAGTTTTACTAGTTTCTTTATAACTGGGAAGATTCTAACGACTATATTCTTGTTCAGTGTCGAAAGCTGAACTAGAAAATGGTCGAAAGAACGTTTTTGATCCAAAGATCTATCCGAGACGGATCTCGGAAACGAAACGACTAAAAAATTCGACCTGATTCTTCAAAGTTTTCACACGTTTTTCTAGAGGTGCTAGAGTCAATATTTTTACATGGCTCGATTCCCTAGACACCAAGCTACAAAACTGAACTTACCGATTTTTGAAATTCCTTTTGGTTGCTGAGAAAAATCATTTTTTCTAAACAAGAGAGGAGAAAGTCCGAATTCTGCTAGTAATTCTCAATTTTCTCGATCAGAACTCAACTTTTGAGCAACAAAAATATCATATTCAGGATCAAAATCAAAAGCTCAGTCGACTGATGAGTATTTTGAAATGATTTTCAGTTTTGGGTGAATCTCGGTAATTTTTCAATGTGAAAATTCGAAAAACATTAAAGTACTCGGATAGGATATAAATACATATCAGTCGACTCAGTTTTTTGATCCTGAATATGATATTTTTATTAGTCAAAAGTTGGGTTCTGATCGAGAAAATTGGAAATTACGGGTGGCGATTTTCAAAAAGTCCATATATGAAATCCTCACGGATTTTCCAGATTATAGAAATCGAATTTCCAATAACGAGAAAAATCTACATCGATTCTCTACATAGTTGGGAATTATTTATAGATAGTGCAGCTCGATTTTCAAGAAAGTTGGGAAATGCACATCGATTCTCTATATTATTGGGAATTATTTATAGAAAATGTTCAGCGAATTTGCGTCTAGGCTTAGTTAAGTCGAGCACTTAAGAATTTTTATGAAACACCTACCTTTACATACCATGAGTTTTAAAAACCTCGCAAAAACCTGCAGGATATAATTAAATAACATTCGCAGGATTTTTGCAAACTCCTGCTTGCCAACGTAAGATTGCGAACTCTTTTTTCCAATGAGTAGTCGACTTAGTTTTGGATCCCGATTCTCGATAATTTTTGATGAAGTAAAAAACGATCTCGATGCACAAGTGAAGAAAACGAAAAATTTCAGATGAAAGAAAGATTGTTACATATACTTACATTTTTAAAACAGCGAACATTTGCTCTAAGGTTTTTGTATCCCAATAAGAGAGCTATAATTGTTTTTATTGACAGGTAATAAACGTAAAATGAAGATAACTGATTTAACGACAGCTAAAGATTGAATTCCCATTCTAAGGTTTTATTTGTCAACGTTTCGACGACTTAGTTGTCATTATCAAGACATAATTACAGATTAAATTTCACAAAAAGAAAATATCTAATCTATCACAGAAAGAGAGACAAATAAGCAAATATTATAAACAAAACGTTTTTTTACATTGAACATAAAATGGAGCAATAAACAGCTAGCGTGCAGACCTCTCTTATCAGATGAGACTTATTATCTTACATAATACCTTCTTCGCGTTGTACTTAATGAGATCCCTCTCGCTGATCGATGTAACAGATATTGGGAAAAATATTGGTGCAGTCTTGCCAAGTCCACGGACGGCGAGTTTTTCTGAGTAAATCTAAATTTCTTTAGAAAGGAGTAGTTAGATAAAGAAACTTCTATAAAATGCCTGAGAACTTCCAAACAGTTTGCGAACCATATTTCTGTGCTTGAAAAATGCCGTTTTTGGTGTTCAGAGAACGCCTTGAGCGACTTGGTCTCAATTCTTGACATGAATGATATCCTACTGCTACAAGAGTTCCCAGAAATGTATCTGATAATAGGGGTCCGGACGTTAGCTGTTTATTGCTCCATTTTATGTTCAATGTAAAAAAAACGTTTTGTTTATAATATTTGCGTATTTGTCTCTCTTTCTGTGATAGATTAGATATTTTCTTTTTGTGAAATTTAATCTATAATTATGTCTTGATAATGACAACTAAGTCGTCGAAACGTTGACAAATAAATCCTTAAAATAGGAATTCAATCTTTAGCTGTCGTTAAATCAGTTATCTTCAATAAGAGAGCATGGCATCCTCGTCAACAACATCAAATACGGTTACGCGATGGTATTGGAATTCAAATAATGACCCCTGGTCAACGACTACAGCATCTAATAGATATGTTTTACAACTGCCTATTCGTTACAGAAAAGCCCAAGCCCTGGAAACTTGGACTGGTTCTTACTACGAGCGCAGTCTTC